GAAGAGGAAGGAAAAGAAGACCAGCCCAGGACACCACCAAGAGTACCCCACGAGACCACGGTGCAGGGTCCACTCCACCCCAGGAGCTGCCACACCTCCCCTCCCTCCGGCACCCGCTCCAGTCCCAGCCAAAGCGCTGTCTAAACACCAGCCCAGATGGGACTGAGGAGGCTCCTCCCGGCAATGCTCCCTGCAGCTGAGAGCCAAGCAGGGGAACCTCAGGCTACGGGAGGCCAGGCGCGCCCAGGAGGACTCCCCTACTGCACCACAGGCCCAGTGACCAGCCTCAGCTCTGCTCCCCAGAGCAACAGGGAGCACCTGTGTCCTGTTGTCCATCCTGCTCCTGCCGTCCACGYGGGCAGTGTCTGCTGGTGCAACCAGCTCCCCTGGGTCCTACTGGGACAGTTAGGGCTGTGGTCCACACCCACAGGGGCCTTAGCAAATGGCTGGGCATGAGTAGGCCAGGAACTTTCCAGATCTTCCAGGTCTGGTTCCGTCTAGCCATTCCTACCCTGTGTCTCTCCTCACACGTTCTACCATAGCAGAGGCATCAGTCCCCAACACCCTGCTTAGGAAACTCGGCTGAAGATGCAGCCTCATCCCGTGCAGGTTCTACTGCACGGACACCCTGAAGYCAGCTCTGCCACTTCCTGAGGAGTGTGCCCTCCCCTCTGGTCCCCAGCCACGCACCCATTCTGAGTCCTCACCAGAAGCCCGGCTCATGCTGCCTCTGACCTCCATGCTGCCGTGAGGGCAGGTGATCTCTAGCACCGYGGAGGCCAGCTGCGACCTTCCCAGAGCTGCCTCAGGCAGCCACACTCCCACCGCAGCCCCAACAGCCTCCCAGCACCCACCTGGTGCTCCTGCAGCCACCTGGAGTTCAGTGCCCAGGTCTTAGACTGCGCAGGCTGCTGGTCACACAAYGCCACCACCCAGACCCAGGGCTGGAGGCACCGCAGAGGCACCTGATCTGGGTGTTGGMGACGGCGGCCTTCCAGTGTGGTGCTCCTCTGTGGGGCGCACGCCTGGCGAGCCTCAGGTAGGTCTCCTCCCGTGAGGTGAGAACCCCCTCAGGGCCTTATTTGATCTGAAATGCTTCCTTAGAGACCTCATCTCCAAATGCCACCAGGCTGCTCCAGAACCTGGGCTGGGGACCCAGCGCGCAGTCCATGATGAAGATGGATGGTCAGGAGAAGGGTAACTGCTGCAGTGAGCTGAGTCTCACTGTGCTGCCCGGGCTGGTCTGGAACTCCTGGGCAAGGAATCCTCCGCCTCCGCCTTCCGCGGAGCAGGAAGCGCCACCACACTTGGCTGAGAAGGACAACCCCAGGGTGAGAGCTGAAGTCAGGGTCTCAGTGAAAACTGCGGCTTCCATCCACGGCCTGAAAGCTCCTGCTGGTCTCCAGCACTTGCTCAGGCACATCCCTGAACTCAGGGCCCAGGACATACCTTCCTGGTGTCAGAGACCTTCTGTCCCAGGGTCATAGCGCAGCAGACATGCCGCACAGACCAGGTGAGTGCAGACCATGGGGGACCCAGGCAGGAGCCCCAGGAGGGCCCGGGCCTGGGTGCCGCAGGCTGAACCCAGAGCAGCCTCCAGCGGCCACACTCCCACGGCAGCCCCGACGCCTCCCAGCACACACCCGAGACTCCACCACAGTCTCCAGGTCCTCCTGGGTCCTGGCTGAGCCTCCCCTTCTGCTTGCTGTTCCGGGCGGTTCTCTCTCAGGCCAGTCTCTCCACAGAATGTACCTCTGTTCATCTGATCAATGCTCCTGTCCTCCTGAGTCATCTAGAGGATGCCGTCCACAGGGYAGGCCGGGGCCTCTCAGGCCCTCCCAGTCAGTGCCCAGGGCCAGAGGTCCCACTTCCAGCTCAGGCCTGGAAGGGGCCCAGCTCTGCTCCTGCCCCAGGACAGGATGTGACCGCCTCCTCCACATCACCTCCCCCACTGCTGTCTTCACCCTGAGTTTCCCCTTCTGTGGATGGTGAAGTTTACAAGGGTGGAAAATCCCAGCCTGACAGTTGCCCACAGAAGGCGGCGGCAGCAGAGGGTTGTGCAACTTGAAAGTGCTCTATAAGAAACCAAGTAAATAAAAACAAAAGCTCTCAGCCCGTGTCACGCGTCGTCACACCTCCAGGTTGTCTTCACCCTCCGAGGCTGGAACTTCCCAGGTCAAGTCCTTCCCAAAGGTGACTTTTCATAGAGTCTCAGTGCAATAAGCTTGTCCACTTCTCAGTCAGGAAGCACAGATGGAGATCCAATCTCTGCAGCTTGACTCTCTTCTAAGCACACACTGCACACGAATTCAGGAAAGTCTCGAAATCTACCGGTCCCCTTCAAGTCTGCCCTCCAGATCTGTTCAAGTGGAGCGTCCTTCTTATTAATGAACCACATGAGGGGACCAGGCAGGATCATGTGCAGGATCCTTGGTGGAGACCGGATGGTGGAGGAAGCAAGGCGGGTATAAACTGAGCTCATGGTAAGAGTGGCAAGGCTCCCACAAGCCTGTGTCCGCAAGGATTGGCTTTCTCAGCACAGCCCACGCCCAGCGACCCAGGATTCCTGCAGTTCACGCCACCAGCTCTGGAGCTAGGTGTGAGTCAGGAATTCATTTTGTCTGTTCGCTCAGTGTGGAGGTTCAGGGGGGACCAGCCAGAGGCAGCAGAACTGGGGCTCTTCTCATCCATCCAGCGAGGAAACCCAATCTGACCCCGAGGTTGAGTCTGTGTGTGTCAGTGCCAGGAAGGTGAAGTGACCACACCTCAAGCTGCCCAGACCCCGAGGCTGCCCCTCCTGTCCTTGATGTTTGCTAACTATCCCCAGGGCATCTGGGATTCACTGAGCCCATTTGGCTTACTTATTTTCATATATACATTTTTTTAGCACTTCTGTGGAATGAACCCTCTACCACTGACCTACACACCCAGCCCTTTCTATTTTATTTTGAGACAGGGTCTCACTACATTGCCTAGGCTGGCCTTGAACTTGCAGCCCTCCTGCTTCAGCCTCCTGAGTYTCTGGGATCACAGGTGTGCACCACTGTGCCCAGCTCACATGGTTCATTAATAAAAAGGACGCTCCAAGGAGAGCAGATCTGGAGGGCAGACTCCACTCCAGCTGCCCACAGGTGGCAAGGTCARACGACACACACACCCTTCTGTACACACAGACCCTCCTGGAGAAGATGTGCAAACTGTGGGCACTGACCCGGCCGCAGGCAACCCAGGCAGAGCTGGGTGGGAGGAACCTGGTCTGGGTGGAGAAACGGTAAAGCCAGGGCATTTCCACAAGAAATTGGAAACCCAGAGAAGAATCACAGTGCGCCATCACCTTTACACTTGGGACAAGCTCTGCAAGTGCCTTGGGACTCAGTTCCTGTGGGGATTGGGGTTAGGGTAAGAGGACTGGGCAGAGGACCACAGAAGACCAGAGCAGGACAGCTGCCTCAGATGTCAGTGCCGAGCCTTCCTCTCCCTGTTCCTCTCCATGCCCAGGGGCACCAGGGCCAGGGGTGGCACACACATGGAGACGGGTCCCATTCTGCTTCAGGACCTGCAGAGGCCTGCCCACAGCATCCATGGCCCCACCCACCCTGCCTAATGCAAACCTGTAGGACAGCAGAGGCTGCCGGAGCCTGCCCAAACCCTCCACAGTCCACACGTGTAGCCTTCTCGAGGCCATCTGAGATCCACAGCCCAGGACCACCCAGAGCTGGAAGTCCAAGGAAGCAGGAGGGCAAGACAGAACCTGGCCATCACCTACATCATATGCTAAGGAGAAACTAGGTACAGTTCTAAGTATGCCTGGGACAGAGAGCAGAAGCCTGGTGGACAGAGATGGACGGAACAAAGGCCCAACACGCTGGGGAAGGGCGCTAACCCTGCCGCCCAGGGTGCCTGGAGCCAGTGCAGCTCGGGAGGGGCCTGACCTGGACTGTGGGTGAGGTGGGGTACACCCCAGCAGCTGCAGTGCCCACAGTGCCCAGGGTAGGGGG